GGGGGGGACATGGAGGTTAACACACACACATTCATTCAGATCTGGCTGCCCATAGACTAACATTGGGCCTGAAAAGCTGACAGGTGGACCTGATGGGTCTCCCCGTGTGAAAAGGGCCCTAAAGAAGCTTTGTTTTGTCCAGCCGGGTGTACCAGAACTCCTGGTGCGGTTGTGTTGCTTCCATGGTGTCCCCACATCATACTAAGCGCCCAGAGCTGGCCAATGGCTCAGGATTTGGTCACCGAGTGAAATAAAACATGACACTTCCTGAGCTGCCGCCATGTTCCCCCCAAGGACCAGTCAGGACACCGCAGGCTTTGGGGGCGACATCCCGGCTGCTCTGCTCGCACCGCTCTTGTGGCGGCTGGAAACTTGTGATAAGATTTATTCTCCATCCCCTCCCCCTCCTCCATACACAAGAATGCAGCATTTTAAAGAGCAACTGAAATCGAAGCATTTGCACATTTTGGGATCCTCAGCTTTCCCAGAAGGCCAGTGACATCACCCCTGTGTAGGCAATGTGCATTGGGGGAGGGGACCCTGAGGTTCACACCTCGGTGATTTATCACGCGGATTTAGATGCAAGACACAAATTCGCATTCAAGCCAATAGAGGCCGTTCACACCTCTGCCTTGCATAGTGCTGGTGAAATCACCTGTCGCGCAGGAGCTATTTTCGGGTGGTTGTCACACAGTTTTGGTCCCATAGACACCACTATGCAGAGGGAACCGCGTGATCTCAGCACAGTGATCGTGCCCAAAAAAAAAAAAAAAGCAGTGAAAACAGCTCAAAGATGCAATCGCCTAGGTGTGACCCGGGCCTAAATCTTGATGCATCTCCAGGCTCACTTTATTGCAGGCCTAAATCTTGATGCATCGCCAGGCTCACTTTATTGCAGGCCTAAATCTTGATGCATCGCCAGGCTCACTTTATTGCAGGCCTAAATCTTGATGTAATGCCAGGCTCACTTTAATGCAGGCCTAAATCTTGATGCATCGCCAGGCTCACTTTATTGCAGACCTTGCATGGCAGCAAAGCTAGTCACACACTCATCACCTGCAAATCCAGACAGATTGTTACTCACCATTGCAGTATTCATTCTGAATAAGCATATGATCGTCCTCTGCCCATGCCGAGTAGTATCGTACTACATGAGGGTGCTGACCAAGTACAGCGTGCGCGTACACTTCCCTCAGTGCGTTCTGCCTGCAAGCAAACACACCGTCACTATACAAGTCGCGCATGTTCCAGAGTCCTCAATCGGGCGCGCCAGGCTTTCCACTCCACAGAACTGTGACTTCTTAATACTGTGCAATAGGTGCGGCAAGCGGCCGCTTTTCAGTTTCGTAAGAGTCACAAGACTGGAGGATTGCAAGTCTGGCCAAATCTGTGTATTCTTCCAGAGCCCACTGAGGTGATTCTGTCCGTGTGTCTCGGGCCACTTACTCATCCACGGAGCCAGCAAGAGGCTTCTTGGAGCGTTTAATGGCGTAAATGCATCCGTCCAGCCGCTTCACGCATTTGTAGACTGCGCCAAACTGACCCGAGCCGATCCTCTCCAACTCATGGAATTCGATGGCGTATCGAGACTTCATGTTACTTTCAGTAATCGTGATTCTCTGCCGGCGGAAGCAAAACGCGTCAATCTCCGCCCACTCGTACCGCACAACATGGATAAAAACACATCAACATCACAGCGCTGGATTATCAATGACGACCTTACCTTAGCCGGCCTGATCCCATCATCCAACTCCCCGTCACTTCCTTCCATCACTTCACCATCAGAACTGAGAAGAAAACACAGCCAAGGTGAGACACGCGGCAATCTATATCTGTAACACCAACAATAGAACTTGCGCAGAGTCCCGCCTCCTTCACACCAGACGCAGCATCACAATTCACCACAACGCATATAAATATATTAAACATGAAGAAGTTCTCACTCTATCACACAGCTCCTCTTCCTCCTGCGATGGTTCCCCGATGACGCCTGCAGATCCACCGACTCCGGTGTAAACGGGTTGATGTTGCAGTGAGGTGTGCTGTACCTGGACTTCAGCCCGGGAGCTCCAGCCCAAAGCCGGCCCAGCCCGGGAGCTCCAGCCCAAATTCTGTACAGGGACACAGACCCCACAGGTTTGATAGTAAGGCTCCAGAAACATGGCAGTCCGTGTATCTCAGGGCATCAGGCCCTCATTTTAGAGGCAAGCGTTTATTTTCACTCGGCAGTCAGGCCTCGGCAGTCACCATAAAGGCTGCCCAAAGCTCCCCATTCACTGGTAGAAGGTCGTATGAACATCAATATGAGAAGTCCGCTCAGAACACCGGAGAATGTCACCAGAAACCCGACCAATGTCATTCAAAAGTCATTTGATTTTGGAATGAAGGGGAGGAGTTTCCCGAACGAAAACCTCATTCGCTGTCAGAATTTCTATCAAGAAAAATTTATCATCCATCGCTAAGCTCGAAAATTGCCGATTTGACCCCATTAACCGCAAGAAAATGGAAGATTCTGATGAACCCAATTCTACAGGTCTATGGCCAGCTTGGTTCTTCAGCACTCTGAAAGAGCGTCCAGCGTACAAGGACGGCTCCTCGTGATTCCTGCGGCAGCACCCAACATTCACCTCCAGCTGGACACTTCTAGACAGTGTTGGAGATTGACCAATCCCCTCATACACCCAAATAACTATTAGCCCAGGACTGAAGACGTGCCTCCATGGTCAATAAGAAGGTGAGAGGCAGAAGGTTGCAGCCAAGTAGCAGAGCTTTGCCTGTCCAGAAGCAGCTTTCAGCCATAGTAGAGATGGAGAGCCAATGAGCACAGGTACCTCTACAGCAAGCGGGGGGGAGGGGCATACTGAGGTGGAACTACAAATTCCATCATCCATCTGCCTCACGGAGTCATACCTGTGGCTGCCAGTCTTGCAATGCCTCAAGGGACTTGTAGTTTGACCACAGCTGGAGGGCCGGAGTTTGATTACCCC